GCCTGCTGTATTTAAACATTTCTGTGTACATCCACTTTTGACAATTGCTGGGAACAAGATCTGTGGGTAGACAGACTTTTCATTTGATGTGGTGAGGCTTCTGTGGCATTTATTGTAGATTTCCTATTGATTGATTATAGCTGTGCAGTGTTTTAAAACTGTTCAGGTTTAAATGTTCTGTAATGAGTGTGTATTGAAACTTTTTTTTTTCTTTGAGAGTGAGGGAATAGAATGGGCAGTTTCAGCTAAAATACCATCTGAGTTTTGCAGTAAGGTCTTAAAAACATGAAAATTTAAGCTGTATGTCTGCAAGTCGCTTAATGATGAACATTAAGAAAACATAGTGTAAACGAGATCTTCACAATTACAAGTGTATTGAAAATATTTTGTCAGAATTCTGCATGAGTGCAACATCTGAAGAAAAAAAAAAGGTGGCTTATTCAGGAAGGTTAGCTGTGATGACCAGATGCCTACCGAATTAATAAAATGCTCCTAAATAATTAAAATAATAAAGTAATGCATTAAGTGTGACAGGTTGTCTAAGTCAAAGCAGCAGTTACATAAAATTAAAGGAAGGCTTGAATATTTTCCATTATCTTGTCTACACATCAGAATTACCACACATGCCTTTCGTGCACGAATGCTTTCATTTTTGCTTTCCCTTGAAATCTTGATTGACTGTGGCACCTACAAATACTTTATCTAAAAGACATTAGACTTGCATCTAGTAAAGACAACAGTTTGATTTTGCCCTTCAGCTGCTTTTTCATTTATGTAGGGTTTTTTCAATTTTATGTAGACATAAATGTAATAAAAATCTCAAGTGCGCAGTTAACTGCAATTTTTATGCTTGTTGTTATGTTAATCTGTAATACCATGGTATTCTTAAGGATTTTTTTGTTTCACAAAATGGGTTAGAAAATAAAGAGAATAGAAGCAGAGTCGCAAATCAGAAATGACAGTTTGAAGGATTTTCAAGGTCTTTTAATAGATTATTTAATTGCAGAAACTGTTTTAGAGAGGAGATGACTCTATCTGTGGTGTTCAATAATGCTAAAGAAGAAACTGAAGTAAAGTTTAATATGTTGTAAGTATGTAAGGTTGTTATAAAAAGCTTTGTATAGTGTGTAGTATTAATTAATTCATTTCATGCAGAAGTCATTACCTGTTATGTAAAAAAACAAGTATAAGTAGTTGTTGAAATGAAACTTGGTGTAGAACTTGCATAACTTCTAAGGGTCTTGAATCTGAGAACTTGAGCAGCTGAAGAATTGACCTTTGTCTCAATTGATAGTTAGATCAGTTAAGTTAGGAAAGTTGCATCTAAGAGGTAATAGACTTAAGGCTGAAACATATTCCTCTGGGCATAACAGCACTCATATTTCACAGCACTTGCTTCTTTTGTGGGTTTTGTACTCTGCTTTGTATAGCATACAAATTGCCACTGCTTCTTTGTGAGGATTGTTGGCATGCAAACTCGTTTTCCTAATTTCTTTTATGTGCCATACAGAAAGTTAAATCAAACTAGTTCAAATCACTGCAGATTAATTTAAATAAATTAGATGAAGTTTGTATTTATACCTACCAAAGTAAAATGACTAGAAAACTAAGTCCTCCTTTCGTCTCTGCCTGTGTTCCAAGAGTACTGATCAGCAAATTATGATTAATATTTTGAATGTTCTATGTCCTTTAAATGAAGATCTATTAAGTAAAAAATGATAACTTTGAGCTTGTGTTAATTGTGATTATTTTTAATTAAATTACATTAAAGATATTTGCAATTTAGAGTGTTCTCTTTCTTATGTTGTAAGTCTTAAATTTTTATATTTATATTTTAATATTTTATGTATTTCAATTAATATTAATAAACTGGGAATACAGCACCTTTACTGTAAAATTTCACGTGAAAATGTGAGTATGGAAGTGTAGAAAAAGATAGGAAGTCTAGCCTCATTCATTGACTGGTTAGAACTTGATTTGAAAGTTCCCTAACAATATGATTTTATGTGTGTGCTTAAACAATAACTTTATTATTCGCCAGATTGTGATATCCTTGATGATACAAGGTAATATGTAGCCAATTGCCCTGTTCAGGTCAATGGAGTTACAGAATTACTCATGCGGGAATAGTGTTGTAATTTGTCCATATATGGTTGTAGCTGAACAGTTTAATTGAAAACAATATGGACACATTCTTAGTACCATAGATAAGCATTCCAAATATCTTGAAAACAGTAATCAACCAGGGAATGGAACCCAATCCACTTCAGTTTGCATGAGTGATAGTTGTGATGTGATGTGGTCATCTGATAACGAGCCATGTGTGGTATGTAGGAATGATACTGTCAGGGTAGAAAAAAAAATGAGCCTTCCAGGTAGCAGTGCTCACTGTCCCTCAGTAATTTATAGTTGAACTTATTTTAAAATATTTTTTATTCCTGAACCATTTCACATACGTTATAAAGTCTCTCAGTGCAGCAACGTCCTGTATGTGGGAATCCTGTCTTCCACAGACAGAGCTAGGAATCTGCTTAGTACCCACTGCTTCCAGATTCCCCCAAAGATGAGAAGGCTTTCAGTTGTGTCTGGAGTATGGACCATAAAACCAGAAATTGCATGGAAATGTCATTGTCTACTGAGGTGGAACAGCATTGACAAAGAGTGTGTCTTCACCAGCCCAGTGATAAGACACTATACTCAAGAAGTAGTTTCTTTTGTTAGTACGAGTATCATTGGTTATCTTGTGTAAGATTATCTTATTTTGGGCTATGTTATCTGTCAGAATATGTATGTAGAGTCTTCTGAGAGCATGTTTTTGATTGTTAGCACGGTCTGAAGCCTATGTTTTCACATATTCTTTCTGTTGTTGCTTGTGTTAACTAGATAAGGTTTTTAAAAAGCCTAAGTGGGACTCTCAGTTTGGGGGATAAATGTACTCTGCTTGTAGTTTATTTGCGCATACCCAAACATGTTGAATCCCAGACTTGCGTAGAATCTTAGAATGGTTTGGGTTGGAAGGGTTCTTAAAGCTCATCCGGTTCCAACCCCCCTGCCACGAGCAGAGACACCTTCCACTAGACCAGGTTGCTCAAAGCCCCATCCGGCCCGGCCTCGAACACTTCCAGGGAAGGGCCAGCCACAACTTCTCTGGGCAACTTGTTCCAGTTCCTCACCACACTCAGAGTAGAGTGTTTCTTTCCTTCATCTAATCTACATCTACCCTCTTTCAGCC